CACGTAAAAGGCATATGTGAGTGTGTACAAGACGTGTCGGGGCCCTTTTGCGATATCGGGGCGATGACAGCGATGAGAGAGACCGAGAGACGAGGCCCTCGGGGGCCCCCAGGAACGCCCCCTTCCAGCATTAAATGCCGTATTAATGCCGCAGCCACGCTCGACTCGAGATCTTCTTTTTTACCCAATCCTATACCCATCTCTCTTCACTTCCATGAGAACTCTAACGTTCGACGTATTCTCCGCGCTTTGCACGGGAGTTTTAATTTCTTGTTTCTTTATTTTCCGAGCCTTCGCATTTTTCAGTTTTTTTTTTCAAGTCGATTTATCTCTTTATCAGTGAGCATCAGACGCAATCTTGACACGTATACCATATGTCATGTGAAATAGTTTGGTCAAAAAATTTCAAGGTTTACTTGTTTTAATCGTCAATTAATTATTTTCACGTTGATCGATTTTTTTATACCTTAAAATTAATTCAATAGGAGTTTAAAAAAAATCAATTTCCAACTCTTTTCTAATTTTCTAAGGTTTGGGATGAATATTTAAATTGTTATCACTTAATGTGGTTTTCTTTGTAATTAACCTGTTATGTTTTTTTTCAATGAAATTTTATTAGAGTTACAACATTATTTCATGTACATTTCATTTTTTGTAATGATGATTGATTAACATGTTTATTGATTGATATGGAATTATTCAATTACTTCGTTAATTCCGTTATTTATGCTGTTCATTTAATCAATTTCCTTTATTTCTTCATCTGATGTTGTTGATGTCTTGAAAATTGAAATTGAGACGGATGGTAATTGCTGAATGCAGATGGATGACGACCCTCAGAGACGTACGCCAATGAGTATAGTGGGTGTACATGCCGGCAAGATACGTATTAGAGGACACGCAAGTCCCTCCCGGCCATTCACATTATACGTGCAGACTTTTTTTCGCCTCGAGCAACGCGTATTAAAAATAACTATTCATGTATGATCGCGGGGAGAGATACATGTAAATATTCTGGGGCAGTACGGGATATTATGATGATTTTTTATCGGAAAAATCAGACAAAGTTATGAATTATGGGTTGAAAATAATTTGCGTGGATTTATCAATTTTCATATTGATATTGGAGACAATATGTCAGGAAGTAATTGAAATCGGATGGTTTGGGTTGCACCGTTAGATAGCTATGGAAATTTCCGATGGAAATCACTGTAATTAAATTCATTCCGATCCAATAGGTGTGGAAATAAGAGGAAAACTTTTGAGTCTCCCTAATTCATGTTTTGCTACATTTATAGAGATTGGAGATTTTTCCTTTGTTTTGATGATAACTTGTCTGAGATAAAGGGTCATAAAGTATTCCATAGTTGTGGAGACATCGAGCAGCATCTGAGTCTCTCTGGCATTTTTGACGATATCTCGGAGAGTAATTAGATTCGGTGAGTTTGGGCTGCGCTGTTGGTTAGTCGGAGAAATTTCCGATGAAAATCATAATTAAGTTCATTTTAATCCAATAGTTCTGGAGATATAAACAAATGTCTCTATGTCCCGCTAATTCATGTTGTTGTGCATAGTGATGCCGCGAGACATTTCATGAGACATCACGAAACAAAACTTTGGAGAGATGATCTCGGTCTCAATGAACATGGAATTCTTCGCTCTCGTCTCAGTCTCGAAATACGCAGTATCGACTCCTCTCGTGATGACTCCGAGTCAATTTATCTCACCTCGGTTTTCAGTTTTTCACGTTTTCATATGTAGAAAACCGAGACGAAACGTTTTTTAATATCACTACTTCAGCAATAATTTTCGCCTCTTGATCTACAATTCTTTGCTCGTAGAGACGACGACATAACTGAGCTATAGTATTGTGAGGTGACTGTAAATATCTCTTAATCTTCCCTAGTAAATTCTCAAAAGGAAACGCTGTCATCTCACTCAAACTGCAGCCTATATTACTCACATCATCAGCCACATGGATTATATTGTGGGTATTCACAGAGGCCGAAGACTTCCCGTAGATCCGCAAGGAATTTATGAAAAAACGTTTGAAGTATTTCTTGGCCAATTGAATATGGGTTAGTGCTGTAGTTTTACACCATAGTAATCGTGAACCCATAGAAAACCTTAAAAAAATGTCGATACTTTTCAGTATTAAGAATTCCTTTTAGAACAACTGGTCCTGCATATAGCGCGAAGAATTTCAATTCTATTGCTTTATACTTTGTAAAATCATTCAAAGTTCTTATTTTTCTATGAAAATCACTAGGAATCTGTGATCTTAACTGCTCTAATCTCCTGGAAACTTTAGCTTTTGCTGCATAACCAACTCGAAACTGTGATGTATTTGAGAACCAATATTCCAACAATTTTGACATTATGCCCAGAAATCAGAGATGCATGAAATCCAGTACAAAAATTTGTATCATATTTATCGGTTGATTGATGTACAGTAACGGAGAGGGATAATTATGTTGCTCAGGATCTTCATAATTTCTGAATGTGGCATCAGTTCGTGGGTTACAATTAGTTGCTTCAAAACATGTCGTTCCATCATGTTTAGCACCAACGACAGTGCAGCGTTCACAGGCATGGAACCCAGTATGACCTAAAGATCCCTTCAAGAAAGCACAGGCTGGAGCCAATGGATTTTTATCTCCAAATGTCTATCTGCAATCGTGATTCCGTCAGCAAGGAGTTGGTTCATTTTCTGTGTGAATTTTTTCAAATAGTTCGCTGGATTTTTGGGTTTACTCGAGCCAGAATGGAGAGCGGCCACGAATGGTTTATAAAATAATGAATCAGAATGAACTTTACATAAGATTGGCCATATGTGCTTTGAACTTGATTTCGATAATGATAATCCAGCGCAGTTTAGTTGTATAGGAATAACCCCGTTTTTATGAGCAGATATATTAATACATGCTTCTAAACCCTGTCTGATTCCAATATAGGCAAATTCCCCAATTGTTCTATCACCATCCTCCATCTCTTCTATTTCATATTGAGCCCGATTTGTTTCTAAGAATGTTTTTGCTGATTTAGGTAGAGTAGGGAGAAGCCTCTCGCGTAGAATTACCAACAAAGGATCCAAGTGAGCGTGAGGAATTTTGTATTCAACAGCCCACATTTTGAGTCGTTTTATCTCTGGATTTGGATCATCATCGGCTTCATGGATGAACATCAGTTGAGGGGTATCTATTGGTTGATTATTATCCTCTTCTTCATTGGAGTGATCACTAGACTCTCCATTCATGAATACACGTTCATTGTCTGTATCTGAATGACGTTCAGTTGGGATTTCTGGATGCCACTGGAGTTATCGTCAGTGGAATTATTGTAATCGAAATTATAGTGCTGCAATGTTAGGCTCTCCATAACATTTTCTACGTCATTCACAGCCGAATAATCAGTATCACTATCAGCAGCCATCACACGCTAATGATAATTGTCTTCATCGGAAGCAGAGCTCAATGGATCCAGATATTGCATTCGAACCTGCTCCTGACGATATTTCAGTCGAGCACGATATTTACGGGTTCTCATAATTGTTTTATTCCATTTGCGTTTTACTGCATCACTCATTTTGATTTATGATCGATGAGCACTTGGAAGTACAGTGAAATATTGTGACACTATCACTGATACTCGAATCTAACTTCGAAATCACATTTATTTGTCCTGACTCTTCCAAGTTCTGAAATTATATTCGAATAACAATGAGTATCAAGACTGAATAAAACAGAAAATTTATAATACATAGCTCTCTTTCTCTGCAGTGAAGACTTTTAATTGTATATTAAATATATACAATTAATTAATTTTACATTTAATATATAATAAGACAGTGTACATAATTAATAAAGAATTCACATCTAACTTTGAACTATGAATAATATCATAGCACTAACTGATGATTCCAGGAAACACATCACTAAAAATATTTTATGATTATACGAATTCAAATATTCAATTATTAACTTATTTCGATGTTTGTCTTCCAGAAAAATTCTAAATCCAAATGAATCGAGCCCTGTAGATTGTCCCTTCAGGCTAGGCTGTTTGGTGGTACTAGTGTGCACTCAACGCTTTTAGACAAAATACGGCCAGCGACGACCTGACAGAGATACATACGTGCAAGACTTCCATGCCTGAATCATTGAAGTTTGGATTCATCCAACGCAACATGGCAATTTCGGCGTTGGATATGCTGGGAAATGGTGGGTCTGTGACAATCTAACATACCATGGCAATTGCTGCGTAGCATATGCTAGGCCATGTAGAGTCTGTGGCCACCTACTGCAACATGGCAGTTGCTACCTTGCTTGTGTTAGGACGAGATCGGCTGATCACAACCTGTCATTTTGCAACCTAGCAATATCTACCTAGTCCTCAAGTTCAAGCTCGCAAACCCAACACATATTTCTACCTGGGATAAACCGAGACAAAAACCGGGATTTTACATTAAAAAACAAGAAAAACTTGAGACCGAGATGAGTTAAATTGACTCCGACTCATCATGAGAGGAGTCGAAACTGTGTATTTCGAGACTGTGACTAGAGCAAAGATTTCCATGTTCATAGAGACCGAGATCATCTCTCCAAAGTTTTGTCTCGTAAAGTGTCTCGCGGCATCACTAGTTGTGCATTTCTAGTTATTGCGGATTTTTCCTTTGTTTCGTACGAACAATTCTGTCGAATCTGTCTGATACTATTTTGGTGGGAAATAGTATATTTCAGCACTTGTGGGGCAATTTCGTTTTTAACGTGTGTGGGGTTTACAGCATGAGCCGAAGGCGAGTGATGTAACCACACACGTTAAGGACGAAATTTCCCAACAAGTACTGAACAAAATTTTATGTCACGAAGCCTGAAACCGGCTGAATTAGACACGAGACGCGAAGCGTCGAGTGTGTAATCCAGCCGGTTTCAGGCATGAGTGGCATAAACTCTTTTTTTTTAATTTCATACCAAAGAAACAAACACATTTACAATTTTTACCTTAATAAGTCGTTGCCGGATTTCGTAAGGATACATTTCCGGGTTTTCCCGCCTAAGCTGCATAATCCTAGCTTCAACTTCCGCCGACGCGACCCTGGGTTTACTGCCCCCAATGACTCCAGGTTTAATTGACCCAGTTTCCTCAAACCTATTGAGAATTTTCGAGACACAACCATGGGAGACCTTGAGATCCCGCGATATCTTGCACGGGCGAATGCCCGCATGTGCCATCTCCACAATTTGCTTCCTGATGTGATTGGGAAGGGGTCGTCCATTTATAAAATGTCCGCCCAATTGGTTTCTCCGGCCTTGACCTAAAATTGGAGAAAAACGAATTTTCAAAGCTCAAAAAAACAAAATTTCTAACTGGCATTTAGAAGCCATAGAATCGTTTGTGGTTGCAAACACAATATAACGACCCATTTTGCCCCAATGGTATTATTTTTGTATTATTTTACTACCTCTAAAGTTATAAGACAAAATGGGTCGTCACATGTTTTAGCAAAAATTTCGTCTTTTCGATTTAAAAAACACTTTAAAAATTGCTGCTCTTAATTTTTGAAATTCCAAAATTGATTGTCAATAACAAATATCTACCTAATCCCCATTTCATCAAAATAATAATAAAAAACTGTAGATGAATAATGCCCCATAAACGGCGTTAAATTAGAAAAGTTATGGACATGGGCGTGTTGAGTAATTTACTCGGTTAACGAGTATTTAAACTCCAATCATTACGTTTTTTCAAATTAGCCACCCTTTCTACGTGACACTGCCACTGCATAATCATTACGCGATGGGCTGGTTTGTCCTATCCTCAGTTGCCTCCATAATCGCAATATATCTGTAATTACAGTATTTACGTATTTCCCAGATAATTCAGTAAAGAAACATGACTACTATAGTCATCGTGCATTAAATCCTCCAGTGATTCCTCGGCGCGAGTGGAGACACTTAATTACTGTTATTGACAATGGAATACCACCCCATGGCACGTCATTCAGAATCCGTAATATTCAAAGCATGTGTAATTGATGATTATGATGTATGATGCATCCCTCGTAGCAAATTCGTTTAACATAATTGAGAAAATCGAAAATATTGTTGGTGGATCAAAAAACTCAGCTCAAGATATTTTGTTTTAGATGTTCATTTTTATCATGTTCTATTGCTTTAAAACGGATCACCAACTTCATTTTGGGGCGCTAATAATCTCAACTTATATGAAAAAATTTTAACCCCTATCTTCTTCACCCTAAGTTAAACCTCACCTCAAAAACCGCGTATTTTCTGTGAAATCGTCGAAAATAAAAATAGTAGAGGGTTATCCCGTGGAGATTTATGAACAAAATTTTCGCTTTCATAATCATCTATTATAATCTAAGCTAGCCCAAAAATGATAGACCAAAGGATACAACTGTAAACAAATCTTGATGTTTGAAATTTTTCATTTCGCATTCTATTACTTTAAAGAAAACCACCAGCCTCTTTTTGAATTGCCAATATTCTGAAATTCGCAATGAAAAAATTTCAATCTAAAAATAAATAAAGAAAAACACCATCATTTATTATCAATTGATGATAATAAATTGATGATGATTTATTTCAAAATCATCATCATTTATTTATTTATCTGTAAATAAATAAATTTGCCTTTCACGCCATTTTCACCCTAATCTCCAAAAATCGAAATTTTCCTATGAAACCGGTGAAAAAGATAATTTTCTCAACATACCTTGAAAGGGATACCCCGTGAAGAAGGGTCTCATGCCCCCGGTCATGTCCATGTTTAATCCGAATCCCCCCAACATTCGAACCACTGTCCACACACCAGAAGTTCACTCTTCACCAAACTTCACTTCAAAACAATTCCAACAATCCGCGAGTCTTCCGTACTTCGATCTAACAATTTCCGAGTGCAAAAGCCTCGAGTAGGCGGCAATAAACGCTGTAATAATAACCCCAAGCTCACGGAACTGGCTAGAGTACGCGAAGGTTGAACCCTTCCGCCAAACAAAAAGCAAAACCTAGTGAAAGGGAAAAACAGTAAAAAATCCAGAAGAACGAATACTTCTCGTGGCGAGTCTTACGAATGCAATAAGGCCTGCACTGGAGACAGAGATTTTTCTTTGGTTCCCTTCCCTCGGCTCTTTCTTCGAAGGGGTACCCCCCATGTGCGATCAGCCTTGAGGGGGGCTGATCTCTGGCTCATGCTTGACTGTGCTCATTTAGTTTTGTCTTGCTTGTGCCTTTGGGAAAGGGAAACCTTATTGTTATTTGTGTTTAGGCTGGCGCTGGCTGGGGTGACGCCCTTAGACACGTGGTTGGTAAGTGAGAGCTAGGGAATGGGCGGGAACAGCACAGGGTAACGCCTACGAAGCGTGCCCCGGATTGTGGTGGAGGTGCTGGAGAATCGGGGCACAATTTACAATTTGAAGATTTTTGGCCATTGGAAATTTCATGCAGGAGCTAAGTGGGTGAGGCGAATTAATTAGAGATTTTTTTGGACCAGGGTTCATCGGTTGTTGTAGCCAGGAGAGTGGAGAATTAAGGATAGTTCAATTTTTTTTTTTAAGGATGGTTCAATTGAGATGATATTTTTATGGATTTAGTCAGGAAAATCAATTTTCAGGGGTTAAGGGCTCATTTATGAAATCTGTGAGCTCTTCCTTGGAGAAGTTTTTGAATCCCTCGAACCGATTAATGTGATTATACTCGCACTGGTATTATCTATTCTTCGGTTGTATAGCGGCCAGTATCGACAGACAAACTTACAGCATTCTTCATTCAAAATATAGCATGATGATCCTTCTAATAAGAAAACACTTCTAGAAAACCATTCTCATAGGTTTTGATGTGGAGTTGATGGTTTGTTTTGGAAGATGCTACCTGGTACTCACCATTTTAGAAGATCTATTAGGTATTTGGACTAGTGATGCCGCGAGACGCGAGAGAAATGAGATGAGACGAAACAAACGAGACTCTCTCTCCCACGTACGAAAAAACGAATGGGCCGAGCTTGGCCCAAGCCCGGTGGCCGGCCTGCCGAACTTCGGGACCCGTTCCTCAACCGGGACCGCGCCGGACTTGGTTGAAACCTGGAATGATAACATCGGGCCAGGTCTGGGCGCCCATCTCGGCCCAGCGTTGATTGCCAGTTGTTGGCCAGGCTCAATTAAACATTACTTAATTACATGAATATGATAAT